CCCTCTCTGAGCCTTGGTCTGGCTGGAGACCAGGCTTCCCACAGCATGTTGGCACAGCCACGTGTGACGTGGCACCTCTCGTGAAGCCTGGCTCAACCTAGCGGGGCTCAGAGAATGGATTTTGTTTTCTTATCTTCTGACAGGGACCAAGGAGGGAAAGTCCTGGGGCGATGGGGATTGTTTCTATGAAAATCGATGGAGAAGAGTGATGGGGAGTTTTAGAACAAAGGAGAGGAAGTGAAGGACGGACGGACGGACATTGAACGGGGTGGTCCTGGGAGGAGAACCAAGTGGACGCCGGGTTTCACCTGAGATGTAAAGATTTGGTACAAACAGCATACAAGGCTGCGCTCTACGTTCAGTCCTAAAACTAGAACAGGAGATGATGAAGAGGCCTCTAGTCTGAGTTCAGGGAGTCGTCACCCACTGTGCTTTCTCCAGTCCTTCCTGGATTTGTCCTGAATGAGACGGTCACAGCTCCACCTGCGTTTCCTATCAGCATCGGAAGGGAGGGAAACATGGCTGTTCCTAGCGCCACCCCACCCACCACTGTGCCTTTCCTTGATATCTCTGGCTTCCTCCCTAAGGCCCTTCTAGAACCTTCAAAGGCACTGTCTTAGCAGATGAAGAGTCCTGAGGAGATGAACCAGAGTTCTATTTAGAAGACAAGCAGACATTGGGAAGACTCTTTATGGCAAAACCATCAGTACACACCCATCTCATTACCTCCCCATCTTCTCCCCAACGAGTCAGAGAAGTAACTTTAGCTAGTCTCTGCACTGAACCTGTCCCACCCGGACACCTCTATCTTACTTATGATTACTGGATCCTACCGACTGGCTTGTAGCATATGGACTGCAGGTGACATGAAGGAGCTCTGCCATGAAATGGCCCAACACTGTCAGTTCCCACTGTCCAGCCAAGCCACCCTGACAAATGCAGTTGGCCATGCAGGAGGTACACCAGCAGCTCGACCTCAAGTCAAATTTCCTACCTTCCTGTTGCTTATGTTCAGGACCTTGGGAATGTCTGTGACCACTGGGAATAGACCTAGTACCAAATACCAAAGTCCCTATTCTACCTGTCCTACCAAAGAGGGATTCTGGGACCTCCAATCTCAGCCCCACTCCCTTCCTCTCTACAGAAAGCATCTTTCCAAGTTCAGGGCCAGCCCCAGAGCCCCAGCTCAACTCAGAGCACTAAGTTTGGTCTCTTGCTAAACCCCTTTTATGAGCTCTATTCTCTACATCCTATCCTTCTCACAGGCCCTGAGGTGCTTGGCTCCCTGAAGAGAAGTCCTGGGGGCTCCAGAACAAAGACTCTGAGAGGCCCAAGTGAGACCATAGAGTGTGGGGAGGCAGCAGAGCTCACGAAGGCGATGGGTGCCTCTGTGACCCCGCCCCCCCACCCCTCCACTCACTGGAGTGTGTCACGTGACAGCAAGCAGCAATCCAGGTATGAAAGCGTGCCCTTTGTCCTGGAGGAGGCCCCCAGGGCTTTGTCAGTGTGCCAGAACCATTGCTTACAAAAAACAAAGTTAATAGGTTTTCTATCATTTAAGTGGTCGCTGAAGCTTAGTGTACAGAACTCCTCAACTGATTAAAAGACAAAAGATCTAACATTTTGTTTCAGTCCAAAAATTGTAGGAGCCTGTTAATCTGTAAACGGGTACTTCAGATCACTCATTGAGGGAAGAAGGGGGCTGGAGGAAGGATCTAGAATATTTTCCTTCATATTCATTCTCAGCACAACTGCAGTAGAAACCCCAGGAATCATCGGTAGAGACAGCACCAGAGCATCCTTGGACAAGGTGTGGGCATGAAGACCAAGCGACTGTTACCTGTACACAAGAAAGATGTTCAGATCAGAGGAAAGGCCCAGGGACCCTACTCCCCTCGAGAATGGGCCAGAGTGAGATCTGGTCCCCTGCACATATACCCAACCCTGCTTAGGGCCATCAAGCCAATTCCAACAGTTCAAACAGAGCCAAGCTCAATCAGGGTTGTAGCAGCCTGGCTCTGACTTTCTACCTTCAATCCCAAAGGCATTAGGAAGAGAAAGGGCCTCACCTGTCCCCTGGGAGTGGACCACCCCAGTTCAAGGAACATAACTGCTGTTCCAGCCGGGAGATGCGAAATGCCAGATAGGACGAGGACGCAACCAAGAAGCAGATCCTGGGGAAACAGGCAACGAGGGGCTGAGTCTGGTTCTGGATTTTCTGGTTTTGGTGTGTGTGTGTGCATGTGTGTGCATGTATGTGCATGCTTGTGTGTGTGTGTGTGTATGTGTGTGGTGTGTGCATGTGTGTGCATGTATGTGCGTGCTTGTGTGTGTGTGTGTGTGTGTGTGTGTGTGTGTGTGTGTCCACAGAAGATCATCTAGAACTGGAGTTACAGGTGCTTGTGAACTGTCTGACATGGGTGCTAGGAAGCAGAACTTCTGTGCAAGAAAGGCAAGCAAGCAGGCTTCCCTGCCGAGCCATCTCTCCAGCCCGGTTTGGTTTTGTTGAGACAAGGTTACAGTACATGCAGACCAGGCTGACCTCAAAAGTGAGATGTAGTCAAGGATGGCCTTGAAATCTTGAGCCTTCTGCTTCCACCTCCCAACTGCTAGCACTATAGGCACATGCCGACATCCCTTGTTTATTCAGTGCTGGGGATCAAACCCAGGGCTTTGTGCATTGCTGGCCAGTACTCTACAGTTGAGTTACATCTCCATATGCCTTTTTTGGTTTAGATTAGTTTTGTTTTTGAGACCGTCTGAACACATAGCCCAGGCTGGCCTGGAACTCACTAAGTAGTCCAGACTGACCTCTAATCCACGAACTGCCTGCCTTAGCCTCCAAGTTACAGCATGGGATTACAAGAACCTCCATCAAGTACCAGGCTAGGAGTTGAGCCTTTCTCCTGGTGAAAGGGCATTGGTGGAGGTTCACCAGAAATAGCAGGAGAACTACCCCATTCCCCAAACTGGGGGGTCTAAAGAGCACTTTGCTCCTGTTCATTAAACAGGTCCCAGGATCACTCTTCTTAGGGATGGCCTGAGACTTGTCATCACAGGAAAGTCCTTACTATTAGCAGGAATTCCAGCCCCGATAGCCGAGTCACGGAGGAAGCCAGACAACCAAAACTATCATCCCACTCTCCCTCTTCCTAGCCACCTTGGTTTCTCCTACACCCGCTTCAGTGGCCATTAAGATGATTTCAATCTCTAAGGCAGCAGGTCCATTCCCCTAGAGAGGCTGAGGTTGAAAATCAAACCTAGGCGGCAGAGACCGAGGGTGTAGATGATGAAGGGTTAATTATCTAAAAGCCTTGGGTGGGTTGAGAAGCTCTGGACAGGAAAGTTGACTGGTAACACCTGTGGGATCTATCACTTCCAGACTTCAGGGGAACTGACCTGCAGGTGGACTCTTCCATCCCAACGTCCCCCCTTTTCTGTCCTATTAAACCCCAAGAACCTCATGCCACATAGGCACAGTCTCACTTCCACAGACAAATGGCAGCGCTTTAATCAGAATTGTTCTGTTTCGGGAGGCGCCCATCTTCTACCCTTTACGTCCAATGTTGCCTCCATCAATCCCATCTAACATTTGCTGCCAAAACCAGGAAGATGTTTTGAGGTCCCACACCCCAGGACCCCCTCCTCTGGCTGACCTTTCCTATCTCCCCTTACCCATCCTGGTCTCTTTTCTGAGACCCATACACAGAGCACATGGCCACTGTCCAAGCTTAACATCCAACAGTCTCAACTCCAAACCTCTGCGTTTTCAGGCTCTAAGTAAATCCGTTTGGGCCTTTCCCCTCATCTGCCTTCCTTTTTCTCCCCCACCCGTTACTCCGGAGCAGAGGCCCTTAGCCAGGTGTCTTCTGGACTACATGCACCACAAACTCACTGGAAGGTAAGGCTTGGCTAATGTCTGGAGGTGCCCCAGACCCAGGCCCTCTCCAGAACTCTGGGAATTCCTCGGCTTTTGCCACCTGCTGATGCTCATCCCTTCAGTCACTCTCTTGACCCTCAGTAATGACCTGAGAAGTGACTCTAACCTCTCTCTCCCCCGGCTGGTTCAAATGAGAGATGCCGCCTTGGTATGTAAGTTGGAAGGCAGTCAGGAAAGACACTTAGAATGCTAACCTTTGGCCTTCATGTATGTGCACGGGTATATACATGCACTCACATACATTTGAGCATGCATACATATATACGCATGTTAGAAGAAAAAGAGAGAGAGGGATACAGACAAGCCAGGGGTCCTGAATATTGTCCTAATGGTAGGCAGTGGAGAAAACATGTGTTTCTCTGGCTAGTATTTTTGTCAATTATCTGATGGCTCCCCAAGCCTGGGCAGCAACTTTACCTTTTCTCAGCAGTTTACCCTGCCCCTTGTACTGCCGGAAGTCTAAATACAGGGACTCGGACACAAAGGATAAGCCATGAGGTCTTCAGAACCACCAAGAGCTTGGAGCTGACTGGGAACATCCCCTTGGGTCTAGGTAATAACCAGTCAACCCTCTAAAACGACTGTTTCAAACACCTCATCACCATGACCACCAGCACTCCGGGTCAGAGACCTCCCTCAGTATAGACACCTACATCACAAAGATGACTTTGAGGAGCCGGGAATCCCACAGCCTCAGTTCCTGGTCCACGGTGGGCTCTTCCTCCAGCATCTCTTCCTCACAGACGGTCTCTGCAATGGGAGAGCAGCTAGGCATCTTCCGGGAGCACTCACTGGGGGCCCCAACCAGAGTGGGGCAGCTCCCCCTCCCTTCATGTCCTGAAGCTGTTTGGGCTCTTGGATTTTCCATATGGGTTTGGAGAAAGAAAGAAACAGCTCTCAAAAGCCTGGCCAGCCACACTGGGCTCTCACATAGACATAAGAGAAAAGGTTAAGACTCTTTTAAGAAAAGGTTAAGATCCAGTCATTGCCCCAAACAGGATCCTGAACTCACCAGACCCTGGAGGCTTCCTGGAGGAGAAGAAGCTATCTGTGGAGTCTGCGGGGATCCTAGAGACACAAGAGATGTCGTCTGGGAGTGACAGGGATGTGGAAGCTGGGCACACTTTTCTCCACTTCATCTCAGGGACAAGGACTTCCTGTGGAGAAGATAGAAGGTGAGTATCCTTTGTTCTAAGGATAGCTCCCGGGTTATCAAGATTTTCTCCAGCGATTACCAATCCAGATGCCTATTCAGGAGCGGAATACAGCAACAACACATCTCCCCCTGGCTGTATCATCCCTCTGTCAGAAAACATCTTTTATGTATTATTAACTATAATTATACCATTCAGTATTATTACTGGGAAGACATTTGGCTGAACTTGATGCCATTTGAAATGATTTCATACATGTATACAATGCATCATAACCATTCCCTCCCACCCCGGCTGGCCCTTTTTGTCTTCACCTCTGGTCCCCTTTCACACCTCCTGCTGTGTTGGTTTTCACCCACTGAGCTTAATTTGCTTACTTGTATGAGCATGAGCAACTTACCAGTAGCTAAAACACTGAAGAAAATGAACCCCCTCCCCGCAAACATCCCTCTGAAGAACACAGTGAAGAAGTACAGTGGGCCCAGACAACCCGGGTCCGTGCTCAGATCTGAGTTCAAAACTGCCTCAGACGGTACAAATAATGGCTTCTTTTAATCCAGATTCTAACTCTGAACGAGCCACTGACCATGGCAGAGGTGACTTATGGTTCCTATCAATACAAAAGGGGACAATGGCTTCTGCCTCTTGCATGGAATTCTGTATGCTGTGTGATTAGCTAAATGCTTCAGAGTTAGTCAGAGTTATGGAGGAGGCGCTAACCACTGTGAGGTCACTGACATTTCATCTCTGCCCTCAGAGCTCATGTCCCTACGCAGGGCCTCAGTTCCTGGAGGAAATTGCTGGAGTCTCAGTGAAGTGTAAGTCTGGGGTTCTTTTTTTTTTATTTTTTATTTAGGTACGTGTGTGTGTGTGTGTGTGTGTGTGTGTGTGTGTGTGTGTGTGTGTGTGTGTGTGTTTTGCCTGCTTATATGTCTGTGTAACCACATGTATCAAGCTAGCTCAGGAGAGGCCAGAAGAGGGCGTTGGATTTCCTGGGACTGGAGTTACAGATGGTTGTGAACGACCATATATGTGCTGGGAATTGAACTCAGGTCCTCTGCCAGAGCAGCCACCGCTCTTAACCACAGAGTGCTCTTAACCACAGAGTGCTCTTAACCACAGAGCGCTCTTAACCACAGAGCCACCTCCCCAGGCCCTGGCTTTGGAGTTCTTGTCTAAGGACATGTCTGTGGCTTTGAAAGTCCCCCTTCCTCTGAGAAAAGAGGATGGATGACTGGCTTTGCATGCATTTGGTTTGGGACTCACCTCAGCCAGTGTTTGGGGGGTATACTTCTGTTCAGAGTCGGCAAATCTGCTGAGGGCCTATGTGCTCTGCATGGCATGCAGTCTGGGAGACCCGTAACACAGTGTGGCCACTGGCTCTAGAACCTGTGTCCTACTTCTACACGGTGGCCCTAAAGTTTCAGAGCCCTGCTCCCTCTCAGGCCCTCACTCCCAGCCTCAGTGCTCACCGGAGACTCGCACTTGGCTTCCTGGGGGAATTTCCTTACACTCAGACTCTTCTTGCTGGAAGGCTGGGGAGGAAAGGGAACAGGCAAGATTAAACCTGAGGAGGCCCCCACAAACCTGTGTCAGGCCAAGCCCAGGTCAGAGTTTGTGCACTGTGGATGGTTGGGGGTGTTTCGTACTACTGTAGAGGAGCAAATCCCAGGCAGCTCATTTCCTGTGCCCCGCCCCCTCCTCACCTTGGCCAGAGGGTATACTGAGAAGCAGCCATATGCCCCTGTCTATCTGTACACTAAGGAGGCACAGGTGAGGGCAAATATACATATGAGGACACACAAAGACCGGCCAACAGATATGCTCGGTGATGCATAGTTCAAATACAGCCTCTGGTGCATTGACCCGGACAGTAAGGCCCCTCTCTCCGCTCCCATTCCCTGTGTTAGAGAGACAGGCTAATCTCCACTAACAGCCTTGTCCCAAGACCTGGGTGCCGTCTCCCAGCTCAACCCTTGCCTCTGGGTTCCATACCTGTAAGTGAGTGCAGACCCTCCTCAGCATGTCATACACACTGTCCCGGGAGAGCAGAGACACAAAGATATACTGGGACATGAAAAGAAAATAGAAAGGACTAGGGTGAGATGGGACTTCTTGCTGTACCAGCAGGCCATGTCCATGGATTGGGGGCAAGCCCAGAGGTGGGTGGGGTCATGAGAACCACCACGACCTCCACCTGGGTCTTCTGGCTCGTTAGGGAGAAGTAACCCTCTGGGAGCAGGCCAGCCTCAGGCCGTGAGTTTCTGGAGCTATGATGGGGAGGACAGGAGAAGTGGCTGGCCCGGAGACTCACAGACCTTCTGGCTGGTGTTTGTGGTGATGGCCAGTCCATTGGGAAGGAGCCGCGCCATCTTGTGTTTTTTGATCAATTGCACAGATACCACAGGAATGGCCACCTGAGAGAAAGAGAGAGGCATGCTTCTCTTAGCGCCTTGGTTTGCTGCACTGGGGCAAAGGATAGACATAGCTGTCACTCAGCCAAGAATGCACACCCTAGTGAAGCCATGTGTGTGTGTGGGGTAGCAGGGGGCATCGAGACCTTTCACATTGTCATTCAGGGTCCCCTTCCAACTCTCCCTACCTCCATGCCCCAGCCTTGATAACCCACGCTGCTTCAGATTCTCGGCTGTGCAAGATCCCTGTTATCCAAGACTAACAAAGACGGTTGTTCTGCTGAATCCTATACTCTACTCAGAGACCCCTGAGCTGGCCCTTAGTCACACTAGTGACTCTCCCTAAAAAATGACACCGTACTCTGACCCTGAAAGAATTTCTGAGATGCCTGAAGCCAGTATAATTTAGCTGTCAATTGTTCAGGCCAGATGTAGGAGCAAGAAAGGGGCCTGCGTTTTAGAAGAACTACTTCCCTGAACACAGGATGAGACAGCTCGATGCTCCTCATCCAACCAGTGAGAGGCTTCATTCACCTTGTACTGAGCACATGCACGACAGGCATGGCTTGGGGCATGCCCACAGGACAGGGGACTGTCCCTCCCCTGGTCCCAGACAGGGGCCTTACTGGGTCATAGCGACCCTCACCACTCATAGCTACCTTGATATCCTTGCCGAAGAGGCTGGCATGGAAGCAAAGCCAGTTGGGAGAGATATAGAGCCGCCCGTGGAGAAGGAGGTCTCTCTGGAGGGCACAGGAACACACTGGGCAGTCACAGGAGAAAAGACAGCCATGAGTAAGGTTAACCCAGAGATGCCCCAGGGCCTGGAGCCTCTTACCTTTTCACCCGTCCTCAGACTCTCCTGTCCCCACCTCCAATCTATCTCACAAGCACTCAAAGGGTCCTCTGGGAATCCTGAGCATCCCATGCCACCTCATCAGACAGCTACCTCTTTCCTCTTTCGAACCCACAAGGTCCAAGCAACTTCCTGTCCAGGTCTCTAGCCCCGGATTTCTGTTAGCTCAGGAAGAGGCTTTACCCTGCCCTGAGAAGAGGGTCTAGCTTGTGCAAATGTCCCTACATGCTCAATGAGAGGCCTGGGCGGGGGACAACACTCACTGGTGAGAATAGAACAGAAAGAGCTGGTAATCTTACCTTCCCTCAGGCACACCTGCATAACTCAACTGCACATCCCAAACCACCCTGTCTCCTCACCCTTTTGAAGAAAAAAAGAGCCAACTGCGTCTAAATTGTTCCCACATGCAACTGAAGCATAAAGGCTCCCAAGTAGAAGGCCTGGTTCCCCACCAGCCTGCCCTGGAAACAGCTCACCTTTGAGAACCATCTCCTCCAAGGGGATGTCTTTAAACAGCTTGTGGTACTGCTGGTTGTATTTGCTCATTAGTGCCTGCAAACATAAGACCCGGCTCTGAGAGGCCATCCATCAGACCACCCCAGGGCCCTGCTCCAGCCACTAGGAGATAATGCCACAGGAAGCCCCTGGGAAGCAGCAAGGGGGTGAAGGGCTGAGTCCCAAGCCTAGCTTATCTCCTGGTAATGTTGAGTTCTTACAGGCAGCCAGTGACTAGAGGGGACACACCATTCCCACCAAGGTTAGGGCACTCACTCAGGTCTCCTGGGTTCCTGCTAGCAGGCCTGGTGGCCAAGGGTCCAAAAATGTGGGCATCCCACACACTTACCCCTTCCCGGCCATACTTCTTTATCTCTTCACCCTTCGAGCCTTCCGACCAGTGCAGACTGCAAAGGAGACATTCCATTCCAGGGACAAGGAACCTCTGAGTCCTGTCCATGTGTCCTCAGTGCCAACTCTGCCCTGGCTTTGAGCCAGAAGATTGGAGCAGAGATTGGAGACTAAACCCTTCTCTGAGAAACTCGGTAAAATGACAAGAACTGTAAGCGCCCCACTCATCTCTGGGGAAGGGCACTCATGAGGCCTCCTTCCCAAGCAGATTTGAGTGCCACACTCACAAAGGTATGCTTGGCCTGAGCCTCAGTCTCCCACAATGCTGAGGGGCTGCTCAGCCCTGAACAGCAAAGACACTCCGATTTCTCTAGCCAAGGAGTAGGCAAAGACACAAGCAATGTGGTGTACAAGACGGAAGCATTAGACTCACAGCTCCAGGGCCATGATACAGACAGATCTGCTCTCCCTGCAGCCTCCTGGGGCAGCCTGCAGGTCCTCATGGAGGCAGGCACTCAGCACGTTCAACCAACTGACTGAGGCTACTGAGCAGGAAAGAACGTGCTGAAATACAAAGCTTTGCTCTGGCCAGGTTGGCCCAAGGACAGGTGGGCAGGGAGGAGACTGGTAACCTGAGAAGCCTGGCCCCTGCGAGGTCCCAATGTACTGGGACAGGCTGGAAGGGTAGGAGGAAGAGGCCTCAGCAGGCTTTGCCCAGCCTACAAGGCATGCTAAGTTGTCTTGCCTGACTCAGACTTAAGGTTCCCCTCAACCTCTCATATTTGTACGTGTGCAAGTGTGAACGTGTGTATTCTCTCGTGTGCATATAGGCCAGAGGACAACCTTGAGAGTCATCCTCAGGAAGAAAGCCATCCACCTCTTTTGAGGCAGTGTCTCTCATCAGTCAGGAGCCCTCCAGTTAGGCTAGACTGGCAGCTGTCCAGTGAGCCTCGCAGATCCTCCTGTCTCTACCTCCCTGGCACCAGAATTACAAGCACACACCGCCACAGTCAGCCTTTTTCTTTTCACATGGGCACTGGGGATTGAACTCGGGTCCTCACGCTTAGAAAGGCAAGTGTTTTATGACAGAGGCATCTTTCCAGTTTCTTAAGGTCCCCTCACTAGCAGGTCACCTCCCGGTAATTCCCATCCTTCCTAGTCTGATCGGAAAGGGTCCTTACCTGTCATCTGGGGGTTCCTGGACCTTTTCTGGTTTCTCTGCGCAAGGCACGGAGCTCTTCATAGGCGCTGTCTTTCCATGCATTTGTTGGTTGCTAGAGGGAAATGTGTCCATGTTAGAAAGGGGAGCTTGAGGGTGTCTTTTCCTACTAACCTCACTATGTCCATCCAGGGCAGCTGTTCTGTCCCCTACCCTTGCTTGATGTACAAGGCAAAGTTTAAGATGTCATAATTTGGAGTCGCTTTCAAATGCCGTGCCCAGTGACCAGCCTTCTGAGAGGGAACTCATTTTCCCATATCCAAACACTATTCACCTCTGCCAATTGGATAGGTCAAAATATGTCATCTTCATTTGTATTTTGTCTACTGGTAGGTGTCTCCCACAGCTTCTTGCCTGGAAACCTAAAGCTGGGTTAATGCCTGGCCCAGAAAAAAAAAGTCAGTCTATTCACCTCGTTTTAACCTCCAGGCAACTGCTTGCTAGTCCAGGAAGAGCTGGGCCTCCAGCCCCGCCCTGGAGGACGGACACAGACATGTTCCTGCTGAAAGCAGAAGTTTCTAAGGTGCCCTAGCAGTTACTGTAAACTATCAGGTTCTGGGAAAGGCCACGGTGTACAGGATTCTTTATCAAACGTTGTTAGAGATGTGGAAAGTAGATTCCAGTTGGACTACAAGTGAGTGTAGCTGGGAGGGATGGGACTGCCCCAGACTAGGAAGTGGTGGCCTCAATCACCTTCAGACAGTGGGAGTACCTCAGCCTTGACAGCCAAACTATTTAAAAAATGTCCCAGGAGGAAGGAGGTGTTCTTCCCCTGGGCAGGTGGGGCTTCCCAGTAGCCTCTAAAGGTCCTGCCTCCGCCTACCAGCTCCACAGACTAGGACCCCCAATTCCTGCTTCTCTGGGCATCAGTAAAGCCTGAGATGTCAGAATAGCCCCAACTGAGTGAGCTCGGGGGTTCTCAAAGGAAGAGGGGTGGCCAAGAAGCAGGGTCAAGACAGGCAGTTCAAAGTCTGGAATATGTAACAAGGTCCTGGGTGCTGGTCCCTCTGTATGTAAATAACTGGAATAAAAAAGATAAGGCTGAGAATCCCAAATGCTCAGTTGCTCTCAGTTCTGTGACGGGGCCAAGGCAAAATTCTCTTTTCCAGGCTGGGGAGAGAGCTCAGTCTGCAAAGTACTTCCTTGCAAACATAAAGACCCCAATTCAGTCCTCAGAACCACACAAAAATACCAGGCATGACAGCACACGGTGTGATCCCAGTACTGAGGAGGCAGAGACAGGCAGTGGGCTCACTGGGCAGCCCCCAGGTCTCCTGGGACAGCTCCAGGCCAATGAGAGACTGTCTCAAAAAAACAAGGAGGTCAGCTCCAGAGGGACACCATCCAAGGTTGCTCTTCAGCCCCCACATGTGTGTGCACGCATGGGCATGTACAACTGCAACACACGTGTGCCTTCGCATGCACATGCAAATAAACCAACACACTTTGTCTTCTTTAATTACAGACTTGGCCCAAATTCTTCCAGGACCCTCGGAGTTTATCCAGGTTCCAACCACAACGTCGTACAGATCAGAAAAAGTTAACCCTGTCCAGTGTCACATCGTGAAGATCCAGGCATCCTCATTCATACCATTAGCCACGTGTGACCTGGTGACCTCTCTCCTTGACCTCACATAGGGTATGGCACACACGTCATCATACACAGTTATACACTGCGTGCTGTTTCAGCCAATGATGGGCAACTCATCTATGACATGGCTCCCTAAGATTAGGCCACCCAGCGATGTCAGAGCTGTCTTGTTCCTATAAGCACACTCCGCCATGTTTGCACAACTCAGGACACATTTCTCAGAAGGTCTCTTTGTGGCTAAATAACACACGATTGGATTTACTGAAGAAAGTGCCAGACTAGTCTATCAATGTGACCCTCTGGCTCCTAAGGTTAGTTTCCGGATATGTTTGGTTTTATCACTTCGCACTTCACAGAGGGGCTTTTTCTTAACTTTTTTTTATGTTTGCTGTAGAGAATATGGTAAATATAAACCATTTAGGAATGATTGAAATCATCCACTAAAAATTCCCTAAAAGTTGCGGGGCGGTGGTGGCACACGCCTTTAATCCCAGCACTCAGAGAGTCAAAGGCAGGAGGGTCTCTAAGAGTTTGAGGCCAGCCTAGTCTGCAGAGCAGTTCCAGGAGAGCCAGGGATCCAGAGAAACTCTGCCTCAAAACACCCCCAAAACAACAACAGATCCCTAGAAGGAGCTGAGGATGTGGATCGATTGGTAGTGTGCTTGTCTTGGAGTAGCATGGAGGAGGTCTTGAGTTTGAGGTCAGCCTGGACTCTGTAATGTGAACCTGTTTCAAAGAAGAAAAAGAGAAGGAGGAGAAAAGAAACATTCTACTCAAGTCCTTTACCCATTTTCTTAATCTTAAGCATAAATGCATGTTTTATATAAATGGATTGCAGTTGCGCTTGGTGGCGCAGGCCTTTAATCCCAGCACTCGGGAGGCAGAGCCAGGTGGATCTCTGTGCGTTCGAAGCCAGCTGGATCTACAAAGCAAGTTCCAGGACAGCCAGGGCTGTTACACAGAGAAACCCTGTCTCAAAAGATAAAAATAAAAAAAGAAAGAAATAGTAGAAACCAAGCCATATGAAGACCTTTGGGCTGGGTGGTTACCTAGCCCTCCCATTAGAACCTACCAGGCCATGGGGCATCTGATAACTACTTGGATTTGACCCAGAGGGCCATAGGGGAACTTTAAGAGCATGGAGCTCAGCCCTCTACCTGACTCTGCAGGCAACTGATATCCATCCCCCTGCCACCGATTTTTCCTGAGAGCAGTTTCTCATAACCCAAGGGTCATAAGTCATATCCACAACCCTTAGGCCCAACCCGTCTCTGTGTTCACACAATGGAGTTAATATCAGGGTCTAAGATACTGAAATCTGTAATTTTTTTTTTTAGATTTTAAAAATGTATTTTTATTTTGCGTGTATATGTGTACGCCTGTATGGTCTGTGCCCTAGGGCAGAGCCCTCAGCAGCCTGAGACGTTGATCCCCTGGATCTGGAGTTATAGGTGGATGTGAGCTGTTTGATGTGAGTACTAGGGACCAAACCCAGGTCCTCTGCAAGAGCAACACATGCTCTCAACCACTGAGCCATCTCTCCGGCCCCAAATCTGTATAAACCACAATAACTACTGAATGAAAGGGATGGAACAGGGAAACAGCAACATCTTTCCACAGTAAAGGGAGGATCAAAGATTGGAATCCTCAAGCAAGCTCCTCTCCTGAGCTGAGCTGGGTCTAAGGGCAGGTAAGCGTAGAGGAGGCTCCAGCAGGGATCTGGAGCCTCCCTGGCAGGGGCAGAACTCCTGCCCACTCCATCTTCCTTCCTTCCAGGAACCTTCCTGAAGTTATCACTGCTGCTGAGCTGGGGTTTGGCCTAGGGCAACAGGGTGAGCTGGGCAGCAGCAAAGGGAGATGTCCAGAGAGGTGGTTATAAGAGGAGAGAGAGAGGCAAGTGAGTCAGAATCAGGGTGCAAGTCTAGCTGCCTCCCACAGACACCACAGACAGGCTCCACGAGTCGATGCCATCTCCAGACAGATACTCGCAAATCTCCCAACTCATTGCCCACCCCCCCGCCCCAACTTCAGCTCTGTCATCTGGAGGAGTCTATCAGGGTGAGCTCAGAACCACCTGTTCCCCATCCCAAGACTGCTTCTCTGTAAGCACCCAGGATCCACGAAAGGCTCCACCCTCCACAGTGACCCCCAGCCAGAATCTCAAATCATTCCCTTTCCGCCCCATACAGTCCTCGGAGCCTGACACGCTTCATCGAAACATCTGTTTCTCCGCTATAGCCACAGCACGCCAGCCCAGGCCACTACTGTCTTTTTTTCTTGGATTCTGGCATCCTCTCCTAGCCACACCTGCCCGAGCCATGCCCTCACACACTTGTCTCTCTCCTACATTCACAGTCATCTGCAACCCAGCTCTGCCCTTGCCTTTCTCTGCAGAATGCCCTTTAGTCTCCGTTCCCTGCTCCCACCCCACACCCGCCCCGCGCCTGCCACTCCTAATCTTCCTGCTTCTTTTTTGTTTAGTTGTTTCTTGACAGGGTCTCACTGTGGAGCCCTGGCTGGTATGGAACTGACGCACTATGGAGACCAAGCTGGATCTCAGAGAGACCCACTTGCTTCTGCCTCCCCAGTTCTGGGATTGAAGTCCGCCACCATGTCCAGCCCTGCTCCTCTTTCCACCCTCACAACTGGCTGGCTACTGTACCCCGTGAAGCTCAGCTGAGGGCCCCACTTTCTTCACCACAGCAGCCCCTCACCGTGGAACCCCTTCCCCGGCTTGTCTACCTGGGGAGGTCTGCGTCTTCTTTGAACCGTCAGTTCAAATGCCTCCCCTGTGTAGAACATTCCCATTTCCCTCGCTGGCTCCCTCCCTCCCTCCCTCTCTCCCTCTGTGCTCCTCACCCCTTCTTTTACTGTTCTGTTTACATGTCTTCCTTCCTCAGTGGACTCTGAGCTCCAAGCCAGGTATGTCTGCATCCCGGCACACATCAGCACTCAGTGTTTGCTGAAGGGAGGAAGTGGGGGGGGGGGGGGGGGAGACAGACAGAGAGAGAAGATAAATGCTTCTTGACACCAAAAAAAAAAAGGGAAGAGAAGAGGGGAAAGCAGTAAGAATAAGTCAGAAAATGAGTGACGCCTCGTGGGCAAGGAAGACAAGGGATGGACAGGAGCTGGGAAGGTCACCCATGGCTGGATCCTTCCTTCCAGGAGCCCTGGCCTGTTGGGGAGGCAGACAGTCTTGGCCTAGCACCAGGAGTCACTCAACCTACCTTGCTTGACTGATCAAGAGGGACACAGAAGGCACAAGGAAGCATAAAGAGAACTAGACAGCCAGGTAGGGTGCGCATGCCTGTATCCCAGCACTTGGGAAGTGGAGGCATCAGGATCAGGGTTCAAGGTCGTCCTTGGCTACATCTGAGTTCCAGGCCAGCCAGGACGTGAGATAGTGTCTCTAAAAAAGAAGGAAAAAGGAGAGGAGGAGAGGGCATAAAGAGGAGAGGAGGTGGAAGAAGAGGAAAAGGAGACAGACAAGTTGGAAGAGGAGGAGAGAAGGAGGAGGAGGAGGAGGAGGGGGAGGAGGGGGGAGGAGGAGGAGGACCATCTCAAGGCAGCATAGGCTATCTACTGGGTTGAAAGTACAGGCAAACCCTGCACTTGACTAGACTGCACTTCTCCGAGCTGTCTGTGCCCAGGCAATGATCCCCCAAGTTTACCAGCCCCTTCCTGCCCTAGTCCTTCCGAACCTCCCTCCAGGCCACATCTGAGCCTCTGGCAACAGCCATGCCTGGGGTTGATGCTGAAGCTGAGATCTCAGCCAGGCCCTGCCCACCCTGAACCAGCAGGGCTCCTGCGGCCACAGGTGGGGCCTTCCCAACAGATCCCAATGGAGCGGTCCCTTGGGTGACTTCTCCCTAGGAAGGGACCATACTCTCCCAGGTGGACTTCTTGTGGACTTCTGAGATACTAGAGCTCCCTGTGGGTCCTGCCAACTCTTCTCAAAGCCAGGCTCAGTGCCAGTACCACCTCTGTAGCCAGCCAAGACACTAAGCCTCTGTGGTCTCCAAGGAGAGGGTTGCCAACAATACTGTTCTCCTTAGACAAAGGCCACATCACCATGCAGGCTCCGGACAGGACAAATCCAAAAGTCATGGAAGCAGCCACAGGGACAGGAAGCTGGGAAGACTTCGGGCCTAGATACCTCAAAAGCCAAGGCTCAGCATCCTGGGCTTGGGGTTCTGCCTTGATGGCCTCCCCACCCCACCTTCATGTCTCAGCTCACCTCCCACCTAACACCCTCCTGTTAGCATTATTATCTACTAATTGGATTCACATTAGACTCACCAGCAGGGCTTTAGAATGAGAAAAAAAAACCCAAAATGCTGTGGTTGTACAGGTCCATAATTCCTGTACTTGAGAGGCTAAGACAGGAGGGTGGTGAGTTCAAGGCCATCCTACAATATATAGTGAGTTTAAGGATAGCCTATGCTATATCTCAAAAAAAATAAAAATGCCTGGGAAGGCCAGGCAGTGGTGACAAACGCCTTTAATCCCAGCACTGAATTCAAGGCCAGCCTGGTCTACATAGAAAGTTCCAGGACAGCCAGGTCTACATAGAGGAAAAAAATTTTTTTTAAATAAAAATAATTTTTAAAAAAAATGCTGTGAGGAGATAGCCCAGTGAGTAAAGTGTTTGCCACGCAAGCATGGGAATCTGAGTTCGAGTCCTCAGGACCCAAGCAGAGCTCACAGTAACTCCAGTGCTCTGAGAGGCTGAGACAGGAGAATCCCCTGATGCTGGAGGGCCAGCTAGCCTGGCTTACAACAGCAGTGACCCACAACAGAAGAGCCTGCCTCAAACAAGCCGGGAGGACAGCGCTGACTCGGAACCTGTCTTCTGACGTCCACGTATGTGTGCACTCACACAACGTGTACACACATGTCATACACACGGCACAGGCACACACAAAAGCAAAAAGAGGAGACTGCCTAAGCCATGTTTAAGAGTTGTACTTAAATGACTATTTTTAGGTTGATATTGAAGTATAATTTTTTTTTCTTTTTTTTGGTTTTTCCAAGACAGGGTTTCTCCATGTAGTTTTGATGTCTGTCCTGGATCTCGCTCTGTAGCCCAGGCTGGCCTCAAACTCACAGAGATCCACCTGGCTCTGCCTCCCGAGTGCTGGGATTAAAGGTGTGCACCACCACTGCCCGGCCTGGAGTATAATTTACACATTGCAAAGGAATCGTATGCAAGGAGGTGTACTGTCCAACACTCTTCTTTCTCTCCCTTTTTATTTTATTTATTTATTATTTTTTTAAGACGGGACCTCTTTATGTAGCCCTGGCTGTCCTGGAACTCACTATGTAAATCAGGCTGGCCTTGAATTCACAGAGATACACCTGCCTCTGCCTCCTGAGTGCTGGGATTAACCGCAAAGCAGTCCATCACACTTCAAAAACACACACCCGGAAACCAGCCCTCAGAACCCTTCTTGCTCCTTCTAGTTTCTCCTCCACCATCCCAAGGAGAACTATTACCCGACATCTGACAGCAGACCGCTTCCTCTCTGTAAGCATGCGATCCCATCATCCATCTCACAGTGCATGGGGAAGACCCAAGGCACATCCACAGTGCTGTATGCGTATCTGCTTAGGACTTGGTTTTGGGGGGGGTTTTTTTAGATTTATTTATTTATTATGTACACAGTGTTCTGCCTGCATGTATCCCTGCAGGCCAGAAGAGGGCACCAGATCTCATTGCAGATGGTTGTGAGCCACCATGTGGTTGCTGGGAATTGAACTCAGGACCTTTGGAGGAGCAGCCAGTGCTCTTAACCTCTGAGCCATCTCTCCAGCCCCAGGACTTGGTTTTTTTTTTTTTTTTTTTTGAGACAGTGTTTTGTATAGCCAAGGCTGACTTGGAACTCACTAAATAGCTGAGGATGACCTTGAACTTCTGATCCTCCTGCCTCCATC